GTGACATTTTTCAAAGTCAAGATTAGCAGTTCCCTGCCTGAGAAAATAGTTCTGAAAGAGTGGGTTAGATTAGATGATTGCTAGTTTGTTCCCTGGCTTCTCATCAAAAGGTTTCCCGTCAGTCCCACTTATCAGTATGATTTGTTCTTTTGAAAGCATCCATATTTTTCCTAGCATGTAGCTTCTGATTGATCTGGTTTCCCATAACTATCTTGAGACTTGGTGGTTTAGTGAGATAATAAACCGGTGCTTGGTCTATACCACTTCAGTGCAGAGGATGATATTTACACGGCTGCACAATTCTCACACCAAAATGAATAATCTTGTGGTAGAAAAATGCAACCAGCAGGAAGAAAATCAGACTATGCAACCACTTTCTTCCTAACATGCTGGCTTTCTGGTGTAACTGGGTTTTTTGGTGCTTTGTTTTTTAGGGTGGAATATTCTGCCACGTGCCTTCCCACTTGCAACTTATAAAATGGTATGGCCCAGACACAAATGAGCTACTCCCCCAATGTGAGCATATTCATGGCTTACACTGATGCAATTCGTGGATATTTATCATTTGATCATTCTATTTACTTTGTACTTAATATTGGTACTCAAAAAGTATTAAATCCCCAAAGTGTTGACTAGACATTCTTGAATCTGTGGCTCAAAGCTTCGGAAGGGCACTAGCTTGGGGATGACTGCTTATGTAGCCCTAGGTAGAGACCAAGCCAACTTCAACTGAAACATGTAATGTGGTGTGACAGTAGAAAAAGGTGTGTGTGTGTGTGTGTGTGTGTACGCGCGCACATGCGCAAACAGATGCATGCAAGAAATCTGAATGCAAATAGTCCGTAATGACAAATGGACACAATAACTTAAACCCTTTCTTAGCTGCCCTTGTACTGAAACAAATACGAGATTCTGGTGTCACTTACACTTTGGCAGATCTACCGTTGCCTGCTGCAGGCCTCAGAATTGTACATGCCTATCAAACCATGGCCCAAGTATCTTTTTGACATTGGAAGCAGTAGACTTATCCTTGAAACTGGCGTATAATATCAAGTATGTCACAAATGACAACTCATCATTCAGGTTGACAGTTGAAATGGTCAGACTGTCCTCCTAGATTGGCCTTTGCATCTCAAAAGGGAACTCGACCCTTCCTTATTCTGATACTGTCTAAAGGCAGCTCAGGACAATCCATTTCTGATATGTAGATCCCAGCATGGTCTATGCAGTGAAACAACAATTTTGGCAGATACAGTATATGGCCTTTGATGATGAAATTCCCTACATGTGGAAGAGACTGGGGTATGCAACCAACTCTACACTCACCTGTGCCTAATCATCTTTATGTGAAAATATCCACATATGCACTTTCTGTGCTTCCTAACCCTCCCACCTCACCCGTCCCAAAATACTAGTTTCTCTGGCACTATCCTGAAACTTGGTACCACAACTCCAAGAGCCATGATATCTGAGGATGATGGGAACTAGATAAGATGATAAGATGATATGAGAAAAGAAAAAAAGAGAAGATAAGATGAGATGAAGGGAAGGGAAGAGGAGAGAAAAGAAGAGAAGAGAAGAGTTATTGTCACTTTTCTCTGTACATAATGGCACACATTAAAATAAAATTCTGATGCCCACTCTCAAAGGAATACACATACACACGTACATCCATTACATGTGCATACACACATACATATACTGTAGAAGTACACACACAGAGAGAGAGAGAGAGAGAAACACACACAGTGTGTGTGTGTGTGTGTGTGTGTGTGTGTGTGTATGAATGAACTGTAGTCCAATTCATGTAGAGGGCATGACATCGTGAAAGGTATGATTGTATCTTCAGTCTTCCAGTGTAAACAAGTAAGATACCATTGCCAACTGTTCAAACTATTCTGAAAACAATGTACTAGAACGATAAGTCATAAAGTCCAGCATTGGGAAACAAGACAGTAAATATTAACCGTTGCTTGTAATGCCAACAATCTAGTCCTTTCTATTTGAAAGGTAAAGGGATAGATTGTCACTTCCAATCTTGCCTGGTATGCTTAAGAGACAAATGGGGGAAGTAAGCCACCTGGTGGTAAAAGAGCTGCATAACAACAAAAAGTAAGAAGACACAAGAAACATGCACTGACATCTGAACAGTTTGAAAAGCATATTTAAGCAGAGAATCAATACTGTTTGTTTATTTCTTTCACAGTCAATGTAATGCAAATACACCATTGTTATAAATATAACGAGCCTGAAATAGGAATTTCTGGTCTCATTCTTTTTGATGTTCAATTTTTGGACCCTAAGACAAGTGCACAGCAGTTCAGACAATTGGTTTTGGTAGTAAATGAATCTAGCAATACCGTAGGAAGTTTCCACAGATTATAAGATGTGTGCAAGGCCATTTCTCACCCATGTAAGCACTATCAACTATAATGTACAAGTTATATTGCCACAATAATTCAGGTTATTAACTCTAAAGTTGAGAATTGGCCCAAACAACCTTACTTGTTGCATAGTTGACAAACAAAGCAGCAGCTATTTAGAAAATTTAAATACTGCAGTTTTTTTTAAAAAAAAAAAAAAACAAGGAAAGGGGATTTGGGGTTATAAGATCTTTTCTTGGCCTTTATACTACAAACCTCTCACATTACGAAGAGTCTACTGCATCTGCATTGGGATGTACAACGACAAAATCCAGAGATGTGTTAAGTCAGTTAAAACATAATGTTACCCATTCATTTTATTCTCCATCTCACATAAAACGTATGTCAAAGAGCAAACCCATGCATTTTTCAGGAGCTACACTTGAAGAGATCTAGTTACATTTTGAAACACTGCAAGCTGTCTTATCCGTCACACCCAGAAGCATTAAAACTTGAATATTTCACATCATCCCGAGCCTTCAGATCAGTTTATGCATTCGTTTTATGAGCTGATTCCAAAAGTAATTTGATGTGATTACAGGTACATGGATATGGGAAGATAACCATAGTCTCTGACGGAGGGCAGTGAAAAATTGCACTATGCCTCAAGTTAATCTCACAGACGCAACTCCCCTTTATTGTACATTCTGATTTCACTGGAAATCAATCCCTGGAGCTGCAATTCTTCTCCTTATTTTTAGTGTATAGTTTTTGAAGTGGGGGGGAAATATTTTAATCAGAAAGTATTCATTGATAATAAGTTTGTATATATTAATTAGGGCATGTCAAATTTTTCAACTTTCAATTTTCAAACATTAGGAGCGCTCAATGGTTGTGACGTGCCTTGGAGATTTTAAAGATATTTTCATTACTTTAATATAATTTAGATGCATTCGGTAAATAACCACATCAATATCATAACTTTTCAGGCCAGCAATTCCCCAGCAAACAATTCAGACCAACAATTCCCCAGTACCATCAAAGAAGAACATTATTCTGTGTGCATTGAACCAGGTGGAAGATATCTTTATCGTTTCACTCCAGAGAAAGGCTCAAAAACAGGAAAACCTGCTCAAGTGATTGCAGATAATCTGGTGCATTTCATGAAGAAGAAAGGTGTTGACAAAAGCTTGAAGGCCATTGGAGGAGATTCTACAAATGTTAATACTGGCTGTGAAGGTGGTGCCATGCACTGGGTCAGAGGTCAAGCCAGAGCATCCACTCTGCTGGAGCTGACTGACTGGTCTGAAGGGGTATATGAGCCACCTTTGATGTGCAAACTGTCTACAGTGGAAATAAAGAAGTCCATTGACAAACGCATGCAAGTACCAGAGTGGCCCTTTCATGCTCAATCAGTAGAGAGATATGTGAAAAAGGTCACAGAGGCAGCAAGCGGATCGTATAAACATGAGAAAATGAGGGTTATATCAGAGGCCAAGAAGCAGGTTGGTGGCTGATGTCAAAGAACAAATCAACACAGGACTTGATGAAACTCGCTTAAGCATTTTTGTAACTCAGACAATTTCTTTCTGATGTTATGATTGCATAGATTATTTTTTGCTTAGCAAGATAAGATTCAAGCAGAATTTTTTTTAATTTTTGTAGCAAAAGGTATAATTTTGAGAAAATAAAGGTAACAGTATTTGTGGGGTATATGATCAGATGTGGATTTACCATACCAAGCTAAACATTGTGCAATTGCAAAAATAACAGCAGATTTGAACTCTTAGTGTAAAAACACATAGTTTTAGAATCTCTCACTGAAAAAAAATTGCAAAAATTAATTTTCACCCCATAAAATGATATGCCCTACAGTGTATACCATCTTTTTCATTATCTTTAGAAGGACCTCAGATTATTTTTGATGTGCAAATTTTCTTCCTTTTTTTTGGAGAAAAGACAAACCATATATTGTTTATGCATACAAATGTAGTTTTCTGTGTACCTATCAGTTTAATTCTTTCACAATTGTAGCAATATTTTTGCCACTCCATATTTCTAACTGAAAGTTGGTAACAACCACTTCATGCCAAAAGATAATCTTTCCATTTTTCTTTGCTCTCCAATATTATTTTAGTTGAACATGCTTCCAAATTTTTCATAATACATGTTAGAGCAATGCTGAATATTTCACATGCTAGAATGTCCACTAATCAGATATACTGTCTTCTAGTGTTTGCTAACCATTACTGGACTGATACAGCAATAGCTTATATTACCCCATAATTTACAGTACTCTTTGGGCAGTTTACAAGGTAGAAACATTATTTGCGTATTGCCCCCAACAATCTGGGTCCTCATTTTACCAACCTTGCAAGGCTGAGTCAACCTTCAGCCCCATCAGGATCGAACTTCAGGCTGTGGACAGAGTTTGCCTGCAATATTGCACTTTAAGCACTATGGCACTAGGACTCATTCTCTTCAATAATGAGAATAGGCATTGCATCACCTCAATGAAGGCCACTTAAAGCAAATATTTATTTTATATTTTTGTACTACCATTTTTGTAGGAACTAAATATGGCTTACATAGCACTGTTCTTTTTTTCCCCAATAGTGTAAATCCTGTGAGTTGGATACAAGAGAGTAACTGGCTGAAAATCAGCCACTGAGTTTCCATGGTTGAGAGTAGATTCAAAACCAGTTTCTCCTTGTTCTTAGTCCAACACTTTAGCCACCTCAGCCATTTTGTTCAGATCATTAATATATTACTGAAGAGAACAACTGGGTTTACAGTAGTAATCTGGTAGCTGTACCATAGATCATTGGAAAATGCTGAGCTGGTTCTTTTAACTGTTTCTTCATCAAAAGGACATTATATCAGTGAAAGAAGAATGGGGTTTCAACTAGCCTATGGCTCAGAAGTTCTTTGTCGTGATGAGTTGCTAACTGATTGAGATGAGTATTCTGGAATGAGTTAGGAAAAGCCGCATTCTCCTTTTAAACCCTTATTGCACTAAACACAGTTACACTTAGGTGTCCTACAGAAATCTTTGGTTTGAGACCATGCATTGATCAAATACAGATAGTCCTCATTTAGTGACTGTCTCATTTAGCAACAATGCATAATTACGACGGCAATATAAAAGTAGCTTTGCAACATTTACAGGTTTGTAAAGCAAAAGAAAGCTGAAATAAGGTTGTAAGCACAGTTGTGGGTTCACTTAGCAACCACTTCGCTTAATGACTGAGTTGTGGGTCCCAAATGAGATCACTGAATGAGGACTATTTGTAATGCTAACGGTGCAGAAATTATTCTAGATTACTACAAGAACCCTTATTTTCCAATATTTGGAAAATCCCTTGTTAGCCTTAGATCAAGAAATACTATCACAATTATAAGTAGCTTATGCACCTAGATTCCTTCATATATATTTTTTCAATAAATATGGCACAAATTCATTCTGAATTTCTGAAACTGAAACTCACAATATTCCAGAGGCCTCCTGGCCTCGTTATCAGCCTCTTTGTCCATTGAATGTCATGAAAGAAAGGGGAAAGAGAGAGGCAATGAAAATATAGCTGAGTTCTAGACCAAGCATCTCTTAACAGTTGCATTTACTGAGCCGGAAATGGCCAAATGGGTGAAACCCATCCAGGTGGTTGTGGGGGTAACACAACCAGGTAGTTGGAAGGCACGTAGCCCTTCTGTCCATTCACTTCCACTAAGAACCATTCCTTGCTTCCCTTTTTATCATGGGGTTCCAGCACAGTCACTGATTGGCCTGCTTGCAGACTGACTTCCTGGTTACTCCTGGCTGTGAAGGGATAAGCAGCTCTTACCTAAGAAAAACAGAAATGCAGTTATAATACTGGATATGATTTTGATCATTGTAATACAGGATAAGATACTGCAGAAAGTTAACAATGATCCCCTCCTAGAAGAATCAAATATTTTGAGAAATATTTAAAAAAAGGCAGGATAAAATATTTTCCCTAAAAGAGAAATAAAAAATCTTAAGGAAGACAGAAACTCAGAACCCCAGCTCCCTGCCCTCAAGCAGTTACTAAGTTGAGGCCATCTTTTAGAAATGCAGATTTGGTAATCCATTACTCCCTGCAGCAAGGTCTGAACAAAGGTAGGGTTAGCCCTCAGCCACAATAGGAATTGCCCAACAAGCCCCTTCATTGCATCAGCCCAAACTTCAACCAAACTTAGCTCAGACAAACTCCTAGGATTGGCCCCATGGGAGTCTGACAACAGCCAATAGAATACATGTTCTAGAACAGGAAGCTCAAGTACAAAGCCCAGGAGAGGGTTTAAATACCCCCACTCTCAACTCCATGTGGTCAGCTGTACCAGAGCTACACACACGTGGTTCTGCTTCATCAATAAATTGACCCTCTTTCCAATCAGCCTCCAGCCTCCATTTTGTCTCCAGTGCCTTTCTCCCAGCTTGGAACTGGACCTGGATATTTCTTCTAAAAATATCAAAAAATTAAATAAACATGTCCAGCTCAGTCCTATCCAGATAGGCAAATCAACTTTCTGGGGTGCCTTTCTGCAAACATCTTGAAGAAGTAGAAATTAATTCTGAAATTTATGGCAAGTAGCTATGCCCAGAGACAGAGCAGGTATCTAAATTTATGTTAGTTATACAGGATACAAATGAGCTCCCGGACCAAATAAATGAGAATGTTTGATTGTCAATTGCCAGCCTGCAGAAAGTGGTAAGTTTGAAGCTGGTAAGGCAGAAATCTCTCATTTTTACACCAGAGAAAGCCATATTATAAACAAGAGAGAAGAAGCAGAATCTTTAAGCCAAGAGAAAAATAGTGAAACAAAAAGGGGAGAGAAAGAGCCAGGATTTACACCTTGAGGCTAACATATATAAAGAGCCCAGTTCCTCCTGGGTGTTAGATGAATTTTCTTGCCTGTATGGCTTCCTAATGCTCTGCAGTATGTGGACTTATGTAACCTTGTTGAATTTGCGTGATGAATGCTAAGCAGAAAGAGGCATGAATGAAAATAAAATAAATGGAAATAGTGACAGGCATATAGAACTGTTAATTATTCAACTCAGTTCTGGGTACAAGGCAAGCTCACAGCAAACCTAAAGTAAATGTCCAGAGTGTTTTGAGCCTTGAAATGCAGTTTGCAGTGGTCTTCTCGCACCATCCCAGGAGAAAGGGCAACACAAATCTCTCGTCCCGACTAAAGAAGTCTTTCCAGATCCAGACAATACAAAGAAAGATCTTCAGGGTGGAAGATCTAGCTTGGTTCTGACCACATTCCCTTTGGGAACTTTCAGATTGGGCGTTGCCCACATTGGAAGGCACCAGTCTGGGAGGCTGGTAGGAAAAAGGGAAGGGAAATCTGGGACTCTGAGATTTTTCCTAGGACTGCACCCAAAATGTGTTTTGCTAATGAGGGACGCTTTCTATGTCGCACGGCATTGAATAAGAAGAAAGAGGAAATTGACATTCACCCGGGCTAGCAGAAATACTAAGGAACAAGGTGCAGATTCAGGAGATAATCCTGCTTTGGTTATACTTAGTCTGTTTCAGGAAACTATGGAATTTGGTTTCAGACAAAGGATTGGGAACCGAGTGAACTGTTACTTTGAGTTCTTTTGCTTAACAACGCATCTCTGGTAACTGCACTTTTCCTCTTTGTCTTCCTGATGTTGTCTTCATCTTATCCTCAGCTGGGCTGCAGGGAAGAGCCAAGATCTGCCTTCAGCAGAGTCCTTTGTCTGTGTTACTCCTGACTGGTACTTTCCGGGCCTTATCCAGATTCCTTATTAATATGGTTTTATTGCTCTTCTAAAGAATATTTCACCTGCTGTTCTTGAGGAAAAGCCCTCGGTCTGTACTCTGAAGATTGATTTAAATGGGGAAGGAAAGCCAGATACTACATATTATTCAGTGTTGTGGGTTCTGTCCCCATTGGGTGCCTTACAGGTTTTCTGTTGCTTTTACCAGTAAAGAGTTTCATATTGCTGCATCATTTACTATTATCACTTTGGGAAGTGGGTGAAAAACAATTTTGTTCATTCTTTTGAATTCAGCGGCGTTAGAGGACGATATCATGCACAGACCAATCTCGCTTTCATGCTTACGGCTGCCTACTAACTTCATCTTGGTGCTGCTAATCACAACATTAGAAGCTGGATTTCTTGCTCATGCATGGCCCCTTTTGCTGCTCATTCTCCTGCTTAACCCTGTGTTCCACTTCTGGGCTTCTTGCCTGTTAAAGGGTCTATTTGTAATGATGGACTTAGTACTTTCTCAGAAGACCCCTGGACTAAAATTCAAAAGCAGCTGATCTGAGGAGGGACATTCATAAGGTGGGAGTGAGCTTCTCCCAATACAATAGGTTTAACTTTTAGGAAAAGAACCTTATTCTGATGACTCATTACTGTTACAAAATTGTAAAATCGTCTCCTTCACCGCTCAAAGTTCCCAGAACCAGTGTCCTGAAGATGCAGTTCCTACAGCAGTTTCTGCAATGCACTATCATTATTTATGATGTCTGAGGGAGTGCCAATTTGCCTACAAATACTCTAGCTTTAATAGCACTAGCTGCCAGGATGACTACTATTGCTCTAGGCTCATATGCATGGACCAATTATAGTAGTATAATGGCAGAAGTCCACTGCAGTAAGTGTGTTCTCCATGGAGGTTGCTAGTGCACAGATTGCTGAACTGTTCTGAAAGTTCTTGGATCTCATCTTGGTATCTTGTGGCTGATACTGGAATTCTTGATAGTCTTGGATGACTTTGATCTTCATACATTGGGAAAGGAGTTTGGTGTAGCTCTTTTGCTCATGGTCTTAATGGCTAATGTCAACTACATCACATGTAATTGCATCCCTAACTTTTGTGAGAGGACACAAGCTAGATCTGCTCTTTATTTTGGAGCAGATGAGATGTGATCTGAAGATGGAAAGTATAAGTATCTGTTCTTTGGGACACTTGGATCTCAAATATGGAAGGTTGGTTAAGGCCATCCATCCCATCCCACAAGGCAAGAGGGCATTTAGGGGTGTACCCCACAATTTGGCAGACTGTTACATCTCAGTGTAGCCAATCCTTAAAACACAGAGGTGGCAAGAGATGATGGGATTGCTCCCATGAGGCTTTCCCACAATTATTGATTCAATGAGTTTCTTAATTTACTAGAGAACTAATATAAGTGGAGTGATGGAAAAAGCAATAAAGGTATAAAACCAGAAGCAGATAACATCAAACATTAATGAAAGTTCATGTTTCAGCCTACACAATGATGATAAAAATTGCAAAGCTATTGGAAAAGATAGAGACATATGGCGAGGTGGCTGGTTTGAAAATAAATAAAGACAAAACAAAGATCTTGACAAAGAACATGCTACTAAGACAAAGAGAAGAACTGGCAGACCGTGTTGAAAATCCAAGTCACGAACAAGGTCAAGTATTTGGGGATATACTTGACATCAAGATGTAGTACATTAAAAGAGAATAATTATATTAAACTTAAACAACAGATAGCTTTAGATTTGAAGAAATGGGAAAACTTACAATTGTCATTAATAGGGAGAATTTCAACAATTAAGATGAATATTTTACCCAGAATCTTATTTTTGTTTCAAACAATACCAATTAGGCTCGGAAAAGACTATTTTGAAGACTAAATAAAATTGTGCTGAAGTATATATGGCAAGGTAAGAAAGCGAGAAGAAAGCTAAAGCTTTTGCAAGATGCTAGAATTAGAGGAGGTTTTGGCCTGCCTAATTGGGAATTGTACTACCAAGCTGCAAATTTGATGTGGGTCAAGGAATGGATAACATTAAGAAAGACTAGATTGCTGACACTAGAAGGTCATGATTTGCTGTTGGGTTGGCATGCTTTTTTATGGTATAAGGGAACTAAAACACAGGGTTATTTTAGAAGACATTATATACGGGAGTCTTTGTGGTTAAACTGGGAGAAGATAAAAAGACAATGTTATTTGAAAATTCCAGTTTGGTTATCGACTATTGAAGCATTTTCCTATCCTATAATTTATAAGAAGGAACAAACAGTTAGATATGGGGAACTATTGGATGAAAAGGGTGAACTTAAATCGATACAAAATCTAGAGGAACAAGGTATAAAGATGAATTGGTTTTCATATGCGCAAATACACTCAAGGTATGATGAAGATTCTAAAACAGAGGGATTTTATGATAAACAGACTGATCTAGATAAGATTTTGACAGGTACCGATGAAAAGGTGATTAAAAAATTATATGGTTATTTACTGGGAATTAAGCTAGAGGAAGAACAAGTCAAAGAAACAATGATTGTTTGGGGGAAGAATTTTGGATATGGGATTGATTTAGAGAAATGGCAAAAACTATGGTCGCAAAACTATAAAATGACAATGTCAACAGCTTATAAAGAAAATCTGTATAAGATGTTTTACAGGTGGCACTTTCCCCCGACGAGGATAGCAAGAATGTTCAAGAATAAATCTGAAAAATGCTGGACATGTCATCAGATACCTGGCTCATATTACCATATGTGGTGGACTTGTGAGGATGCTAGAAAATATTGGACTAAAATCCGCATGTGGTTGGAAAAAATGACAAAGAAACGCATAGATTTGAAACCGGAGGTTTTTTTTATTGGGAATCTTACCTGATACATACAGTAAAGACTTGAAATATCTGATTGTAAATGTATTAACAGTGGCTAGGATTGTATTTGCTAAAGATTGGAAAAATGAGAAAATACCATTGCAGGAAGAAATTATTAAGAAAATATTGGAATGTGCTGAGATGAGTAGATTGACATTTGAAATTAGAGAGCAAGAGGATAAACAATTCTATAAAATTTGGGACCTTTTCTATCAATGGTTGGATGATAAAATATAATAATAGAATATTCAGAATGTTAGATAACAAGGAATATCTTTGCTTTTTCTTTTTCTTTTGTTATTTGACATCATATCTATAAAGTGTTTTCAGGATAGATTTGGTATGATTATATGATTTGTTATAGAATAAACTATTTAAATTATAGTTATCTCATAAAGTATGAATGAATAAAATTATAGTCAAATGATTTTCTAATAGCGATACTAGGATATATAAGTTTGGATTGATAATATGAGTTATTATGTAATGTAACTGTAATTGAGACTATGAAATGAATGCACAAAACTGATGAACCAACAGACACACTGTTTGTATATATATATGGAAGAGAGCTGATGTTTTTATGTTTTGTTTGTTTTGTTTGTTTTTAAAAAATCAATAAAATTGTTTTCAAAAAAAAATTGCAATGTGGCAGTTCTCTGCACTTATTTCATCTGCAGATTCATGCTTGTGCTAAATTATAATATTTTAGGAAACAATGAACAGGACAAAGTGACTGCACATATACTGGATGAATCTGCAGATTTCTGGAAAATAATTTCACTTGATAAGACTTTCTGTAATTTGAATTTTGCCAACTGTGATTTGAATTCAGGTCCTTCTTTGCTCTTTCAAATAGCTAGGCAGGACATAGATAGCTGGATCCAGGAAGTGTTCAATGTTTCTCCAAGGAAGAAAGTAATGCCACCTTACTTTGAAAGAAGCAGTTGACATTCCTGGGTCTGGCTATATTTAATTAATTTTGCCTGGGGTTCAATGTCCTTGTTTTAAAGAATATAGCTGAAAGATAGTGGGGAATCAGAGGAACATCATACAAAAGAGGAAAGAAGTTTTCTAGATCTTTTCCAGTTCCAGATTCTAGTTATGAGAGAGAAATGGTATTAGTCATGGTGGTGAATAGTTTTCATTTGGAGTTCACGCAGACTAAACTTTTCAGGGTCCTATTAGAGCTTAGACTTTTAGCTCCTACACAAGCAGCAAATGAATGCCCAACTCTAGCTGGGGTGCCTCTTGTGATCTTATGTATTGTTAGACGTAATCATATAAACTAATCCTTCATGTGGCTGCTACTTCTTATCTACCTTGAGGGGCTGCCTTGAGGGGCTGCCACAGGGAGGAAGGGGTCAAGCTATTTTCTAAAGCATCTGTAGGCCAGAGAAGGAATAATAGATGGAAACTGAACAAGGAGAGATTTAACCTGGAAATAAGGAGAAACTTTCTGACAGTGAGAACAATCAACCAGTGGAACAGCTTGCCCTCGGAAGTTGTGGGAGCGTCATCACTTGAAACTTTCAAGAAGAGAATGGACTGCCATTTGTCAGAAATGGTGTAGGGTCTCCCGCTTGGGTGGGGGGTTGGGCTAGATGACCTAGAACTCCTAGAACCTTCCAACTCTGATTATCTGTTATCTGTTACCTTTGTTTTGATTTTCATTGCTCATGACATGTATATTTTTTATTTGACCAACACCTTGCCAGTTCTCAAATTTTACCCACTCTCATGTTTCACTTTATAAATGTCTCAAGGGTGAGTCAACATATCCGGGCTATTCCATATTTAAATCCATTTGAGATCCTGTTTCTAACAAACTACCTGGAGAAAAAAAATATCACTTGAGAGGTATGCCCAATTTTGAAATGGCCCTGTTAAAATATAAATCAGCATAGCAGGACAGGGAATGCCATCATCTGCCAGTCTCCAGTCATAAATTCACTGCATGCACACAACCCGTACTATTGTCCTTGAAAATCAAAGCAAAAAGACAGACAGACAGGAGTGGCTGGAAAAACTGGCACTTTACTCACCTGTAAAACTGGAGTGTCGAAGTACGCTGGGGGATTGGGAGTTTGAGGAAAGTTGCAAGTAGGATATGTTTTCCCAGCAGTATCACCCTGGGGCAACGTTGTTGTTCTGGGCCTTGAGTTAGGGACGTAATGGTACTGTTGGAGCTTTCCGGGTGAAACGTAGCCTCTTGGACCTGCAAGGTACACAAGACAGGTAGGGTCAGCTAGCGGATGGCCCTACTGCAACTCCAATGAAAGCGGCATGAACTTGACGTAGTTGGAAAATAATGGTGTAGACAGTAACGATTGGACAAAAAGGCAGCATTTACTGTAGGAAAGAAGAGAGGATTGTGTGGGATGTACTAATGAAAGGATGTGATTTTTACAAGAGTTTTTGGCAGGATGTAATCTGTCCTGTTTTAAAATCAAGGCCAGGAGGAGCTATTTCTGAATACATTAAAATTTTATATTCATATAAAAATCCTAACGTTACAGCAACAAATGGCTAAACTTTTAACTATGGCTATAGAAGAAAGGTTTTTACTGATTTATTAATGTATGCGTTTTAAAATGCTTAATATAATATTTATCAACTTATTTATCTCAAAGCGTTTTATTTTATACTAACCCTTTTTATTATACTGTATCTGTACTTTCTAGGAGCCACAGTGGCGCAATGATTAGAATGCAGTACTGCAGGCTACTTCTGCTGACTGCCGTCTGCCTGCAATTTGGCAGATCGAATCTCACCAGGCTAGAGGTTGACTCAGCCTTCCATCCTCCTGAGGTGGGTAAAGTGAGGACCCAGATTGTTGGGGGCCATATGCTGACTCTGTAAACCATTAGAGAGGGTGGTAAAGCAC